GCTTGCGGTGCGCATCAGCGTCTTACACCACAATGATCATGCAGGTGTTCGACAGGATCTTCTTAACATGATCCCCAACATTGCTGAACATGCTTCTGATGAGTTGGACCAAGACGGTTTTTGCACGGCCCTTCTGCAATGGATGGACAACACCCATCAAGATCCCCATAAGCTTCAGGATCTCGTCATGGTTCAAGAACATCAAGCTCGCATCGGCTTGGCCCTTGCCAACACGGATGAGTACAAGACATGGCTTTCTCAAGCTCACTCCAAGGGGCTCAGAGGCCTCTTCCGCAGCCTTAGACAAAAGGACATCCCTTGGCAGCGACCTTTCCAGGATCTACCATTGCAAGAACGACTTCAAGCCCGCCAGTCACAGTGGGGCGCCATTTGGATTCCTGTGGACGAACCTTGTCACATTCAAGGTTTCCGGGAGTTGAGGGAGGATGCCATTGAACAGGCCCGCACCATGCAACCCATCAATCTGCTCAGCCTTCAGAGGGTGATCAAGAAACTTCCACACAAGGCCTCGGGACCGGATGGAATCTCCTATGATTTCCTCAAGCCATTGCGCAGCTGGCAAACTTGCTCAATCAGATGGAGCAAGAGGCACTTCTTCCCACACAACTACGAATGGTCAACATCGTCATGATTCCCAAAAGCCTCAAAGTCGAAAGGCCCATTGCGTTGACCTCCTGCCTCTACCGGCTTTGGAACCGAATCCGGAAGCAAGACATTGTCCGGTGGCAGCTGTCTCTGGATACGGCCATGCCCTGGGATCATGCAAGACCCAAGAAAGACTGTTTATCCATTGCAGTTGGAAGAATGCTCCAATCTGAGCTGTGCAAAAGCAATGACATCCACACTGTCACTTGCTTGGCTGACCTCAGTTGCTTTTACGATACTGTGGATCTCGACAAGCTCATCCAGCCGGCCAGGGAGCTTGAGTACCCGCTCCTCCATCTGAAGTTGGCCATCGATCTTTACCGGGGCCCACGGGTCATCCAAGCTGAGGGCATCGCCACTGACCCGCAGCATTACCGCAAGGGCATTCTCCAAGGCTGCCCTCAAGCGCCTGCCATCGCCAAGCTGGTGCTCTACAAGCCGCTTCTCGCGCTTCAGAGGCAACATCCGGCAGCGCTTCTCCAGACTTGGGTGGATGATGTATCCTTTGATGTTCGTGGCAAGGACCCCATTTATGTGGCCCAGGAAGCTCTGCAGTCCTATCGGTGCCTTCATGCAGCCCTTACTGAAGCAGGCCTCAAGCTCAATACGGACAAGACAGGGTTCCTCACGAGCTCCAAAGAGACCGCTCTGGCCCTGAAAGCAATTCTCCAGCCTGGAGATCCTGAGCTCTATGACGTCTTTCGTGACTTGGGCATCGACGCCACGGCTGCCAAGAGAAGAAGAGTGCCACAGGTCAAGAAACGCTTCACCAAAGGAAGAGGTCGTGCAGGCATCATGCATCGCCTCAAGTTGAACACAGCAGTGAGGTACAGGTTGCACCGTGGGGCGATACACGCTCAGGCCAACGGACTGGCACCACAACGCAGGCACCAACTTCGGGCGATGGCTGCCAGAGGGCTCAAACTTCAGAAGTCAGGCTCTGTCGACATTGTCTATGACATGAACAAGAAGCACCCTGACCCAGGTGACGTCATCATCCTCCAACACATTCACACCATTTGGAAGTTGTACCACAGTTTTGATGACAGCAAGAAGCACTTGTTCAACTCCAGCTGGAATCTGGCTTTGGCACCGCTGAACAAGGCCAGGTATCCCTGGCAGGTAGTCACCGGACCTCTTCAAGCCCTTCAGGCCTATCTGTTGGACATGGGGTTTGACCTTCAGGATGGACATCAATGGCACAGAGCTGGTTACGGGGCGATCCCAGATTGCACTCTGTCTATAGAGCTGCTGTGGCCGGAGCTGGCCATGAAGCTGCAACAGGAGTTTAAGTGGCAACGCCTCATCAGGTTGACCAAGTACAGTGGTTGTGAACACCTGGAGCAACCATTGGATTGGACCATGAGTCTGAAGCTGCAGCGGATCGCCTGGCTTGTGCTTTGAGGGCCTTCCACCAGGGCACATTGCATGGCTTCAAGGGACAATGCCCTCTCTGCGCCGTCGAGATCACCACTGTGCATCTCATTTGGGAATGTTCCTATTGGCAAGGGCGGGTCAAAGACATTCCAGACGAGTGGAAAGATCGCATAAGCCAGAACATCGAGCCGGAAGTATGGCACCGAGGTCTGGCCCAATTGCCCTTCCGAGAACGACATGGAGGACCATCCACCTTCATCGGCACTGGCAAATGGCATGACTTGCAACCGTGCCACATCGATCATGGTCACGCTTGCTGCCTGGACATTGCGGCCACATGTGCGGATGTTCGCCACCAGCAATACATCTTTGCTGTTGGTATCTTTGAGATTGCCACCAAAGAGTGCATTGCATCCATCACTGGCATCTGTCCGGGTGAGGCCTCCAGAACAAGGGCTACCTTCTTTGCCCTGAAGCAATTGTCGATGCACCTTCTGGACTCCACTCATGTCGGTATTTCCAACCTGCAAGTCTGGAAAGCATGGACACCACATATGGCCATGGAACGCTTCCCAGATCTTTACTACGGTCTTGAGTTTGAGGATTTCGATCAAGTCAGACCTTTGCTTTTCCTCTCTCATCTCCAGCAGGAGGAGGGTATGAAGACCAGGAAGCAACTTCAGAAGTCCATCAAACGCATTGCACAAGAGAGGGCCAAAGCTGAAGCTCCAAAAGATTTCCTCTCCTACCAGAAGGCCATCGATGAAGACCTTGCTGACATTTTGTCAATTGCCGCTGAGAGGGTCGATCACATCCTCAGAGATCAGGACCATTTCCTGAGGAAGCCCACTCAAATCTCGCAGGAGGTCAGAACTCCACTACTCCAGCAGAAGAAGGAGCTCATTGCGGCTCTCCTCAAAGAGCCTGACCGAGGAGGGCATCAATGGGAGGTCCATCGATCCGGAGCCATCTGCACACGATGCAAAACCAGGATCCACTCCAAGAGTATGATCCAGGAGATCAAGGCCACCATGAGCTCAGAGTGTCAAAATCCTCTCCAACAGAAGATCACCAAGACTCCCCGCATGGAGGTGATCAAGCAGCTCATTGAAAGCCAAGACAAGCCACAGACAGGAGTGCACTTCTTGCGCTTAGACAAAGCGTACTTACGCTGTGACCTTTGCAAAAGCTACATTTTAGCAAGGTCCAATGAGCACATCTTCGAGGAGTTCGTTGGGCAAGTCTGCAACAGCGGGCCACTCCCGCCCTCGATGTGGGATGGACATGGCACTCACACCATGCAGAGGCAAGGCAGCTTCGCCGAGTGCTCACGGTGCGGCGCTCGCAACCGCATCGCTGGGGACAAAGTCCTCTTGAACCGCCGGCTGAAGGAAGCCTGCCCCTCCAGATCACAGGATCTGAGAAGGATGTTCTCGTGAGCACCTTGTAGCACGGAAAAGAGCCGTGGAAAAAAAAATATACATTTTCTATTTTCGTGAGACCATTTTAGGTTGGAGGCCATTGTTCTTAGGTTGGAGGCCAACGCTCTTAGGTTGGAGGCCATCGCTCTTAGGTAATAGATGAAATAGGCATGCCATGCCGTGACATGAATTTAGACTCATGTCCATGATGGGCACGCCATGCTGTGATATGAGGGTAAGGGGAAGTAACATGACAGGGAGGGTAAGGGGAAGGGAAGTAGGTAAGTGGCTAGATTGGTAGGTGGGTAGCTACCTTCAAAGTGGCTAGAACCAGGCCCAGCATCAAAAAGTTATGGCATCAAAATTCACACATTATTTCATACAGTGTATATCTATCTATATATATATATATGCAATCAAACGGAGAATAGGATAATTGAGGATGTAGGGTTCCCAGACATGTTGATATGTTGACAGGTATGTCAATGGCTATGTCACGTCATGGATATGTATGGGCATGTCAACCCCAAAACGAAAACGATGAAAAAAGCCAATGGTCAGGTCTTAGGGGGTCTTTCTTTGGGTCTTTCAACTTGGACCTTCGACCCTTCAAATGCTCCACACTCCTGTCACTGTCACTCCATCCGAGTCCTGCACGGCTTGCCTCAAGGAAGCGCTTAAGCCTTCCTCTTGTCCCACCAAGTCCTCCAACCTCTCAGGCCTCATCCGCTCTGCCAAGGGCGCCACCGACGTCGTCCCTTTGCTCGTCGCGGCGCTCGTCGTCGCGCCGGGAGGGCCGGCGACTTCGCCGGTGGCCGGGCGCTTGGTTGAGAAGTCCAGGATGCTCGAGGGCCGCTTCCGAGCCCCTGATCCCTCACCCCCACTGGGCGCTGATGTGCCAGGTGCGCCAGATGCGCTGCGTGGGGTGGCGTTGGCGTCATAATGCAAGTTCACGGCTTTGGCCACATCATTCTCTGCACGGTGCAGGAGATCCTTCAGGTGACTAGTCTCCAAGGGACCTATAATATCACGTAAGGCGGCCTCAAGAGCTTCACTCATGGGGCCGGCAATAGAGATGGACACTCATCGAGAATTCATGGGCTACACACTGCTACGCTCTTCGGAGGTCAGAACTTCTGTGCATGCTCAGATCTGGTGACCTGGTTCATCGCTCAGATCGTTCTGCTCAGAAATCTTCGACCAAACTGAACGTTTGTGCGAACTTAGTGAAGGTCTTTGCATCTATGTTTTCCAGTGGCAAGGATAGCAAAGGGTTGTTGTTGGGGGTCCTCCATGTCTCGTAGGTTGAGAGACACCCACCCAAGGGCCATCTTCAAGCTCAAAGAACTTGAGCCAAAAAAAACATGTGGAACCTACAGAACATCCTCACGCGGAAACATGCTCATCCTGGACTCATCCTGCAGAAACAGACCCGTTTGCTTGGGCATCCGCCAATCAAGAACCCGTCCACAGAAAGACAAGCTGTTGACACGTGTTGACACAACCGACGAAGTGTCGGATCACGGGTGCCCCAACGTCCAGCACCAGCTTGGCCTGGCGAAAATCAAACACGTCGGAACGAACCGAGGCGTTCGGAACCAGGTGTTCCCGGTGTCGGAAAGATCAGTTGAAAGCTGCTTGGATTGGTACCAGTCGGCATCCAGTCGGGGTGGAAGGACCATGAAGAAGCCCACAGGGCCCACCTCCTCTCTTCAACACTCATGGCTCTAAGAGGGGGCGGATTGAAATGAGAAGCTCCAAGCAAGGCGTCCGTGAGTCGAGGTGACCGTGTTTGACCATGTTGGACCGCCACACGAGCAAGGTCCCCTCGAAACTTCCTGAGTTCACCCTAATGGCAAACGGCAGTCCTTTTGACAAGGTCGGCTTCCTACTTATTGTAGGTCTCACGCTATAGAACAAATCACACACCTTCTACCACCAAAGTGCCATCCATGCCTCACAGAAACTGAGGTTCTTGGCATGATCAGTTCGTCTTTCCAACAGACTTCAAGGAATATTCGAGTAAAATCGTTTCTTTGCAAATGTTCTCGAGCTCTCTTGCCTGAGCTGAGCTGGCCTTTTGTCTGACCCCGTCTCATGCTTCTATCGTCTCACGCTCCCCCGTTTTCTTTCGGTAAACAAGCCGGCCCAGGCGTGGAAACCCGAGACTAGCACGGACAAAGAGGGAGCTGGAAGCACCTGAGAACTCATGAGGCACGGAACGCACTTCTAGTGACACATTTGCCAGGACGCGCTCGGGTTTTGCCAAAGCGTATTCATCCGCAGGACGAGTTTACTTCCCCGGGCGGCAGTCTACGGCACTTGACATATCTGTAAATCGGATGACCCACTCCATCGTTAAAACCAGCTGCTTTTGTACGACCCTTCAATATCCTTCAATCAGAAGCCATCAGGTCTTTTCCACAGTCACCGCTTTGGCTTGTCAATGCACAGGCACCTCCGGATAGGTCCGCTGCATGCGAAGGCATGCAGACCTCGGAGACTGGCCCGGGAGATGGGGGGGAGACTTGTTCTGAATGGGTGAGCATGTCGAAACACAAAAGAAAAAACACAACACAACGCAACACAATCAACCACATACCAGGGTCCGCGTAATTCAGGAATGATATATGGTGATATACTAGGTCCTGGTGTATGCACAACCCCTCTGACAGGTGCGAGTGTAGGGAGCACCATTTTGGCTGGGACCAACGGTCTTCCCAGCTTCGTTCTTTCTTCGGTATTCATTTCGGTCTCGTGGATGGCGACATGTGGCTTCTCTGACCCGAGGCTCTCTTCCAATTCTTGACTTGAAAACCTATGCATGATGATTTCAGGTCATTTGGTGTAAGCAATCATCTACAATAATAAATAAACATGATCTATGATGCAAAGGATATACCGATGATACCTGCCCAAACATGCAAAAGGAGTCATCTCAACTTCCAGTCCTTCTGTTCTTTCTGGAACGGCCCAGCGTGGCACTCACCTTTGGACAGCATTCCGCACACGTCCCGTGGACGAGACGCGTTCCATCGCAACACCGCCCCCATGCAGCTCCTTGCTGCGTTCCGGACAATCTCCGCATCCATGGATGGACGCGCGGCGAGAGCAATGCGACCATGACCTGCCCCGGCTCAAGCAGCTCAGTGGGCTCAAGTGGCTGAGATTCTTTCACATGAGAATCAATTGAGGAAGTCTAGCCCCTATAATAAACAAGGGAAATGCAGTTGGCTTAGGTGCATGGACTGCATGGATAATGAATCTAGCCTTTGGGCACCCGGAGCCCGGCAAACCCCTTCGCAAACCCCTTCGCAAACCCTCCACCTGGCAGGTCACTTGAAAGGCCGTCTCCAGGGTTTCGAAAGGCCGCTTCACAGGTCTAGGCCTGGGTGCGAAGATGTTCAAGGGCTTGGTTCGGTCTGATCCAGGTTCGGGTTGAGACTCAAGTGACTCAAGACCACCGATTTGGATGAGAAGATCTGCTTTGCCATTGAAACACACGCAGCATCTGTGTCAATGGCCAAACGAAGCCAGTGTTCAAGAGGTTGGTCATTCCCTTGTCCCTCACTACTCCTCACCGGGGCACCGTTTTTGGATTTTTGGGAGTTGTCAGACATCGGGAAACACATTGTTGCTTGACAACGGCCGGGGGCCATCGGTCTAACATTGCCAAACCAAAGAGCATGGAGCCAGTTGCCCAATGGTAATATCTGGAGGAAAAAGCATGTCGAAGGCCTAGCAAACTGAACTGAGCCGTTCCGAGAACGGCGAAGTTCTTTGCAGTGTTTAAATTACAGAACATCAACCCGAGTCACGTCTTTGTGCTGTCGAGATCGGCTCAGGCCCTCGCTTCTGGGTGGCGCGAACGGCCTGTCAGTACCGAGACAGCAGCCTTGAGGAACACTCTAGACTCTAGCCGACTCTAGCTTAAACTTGGATCTGCTTAAGGAACCTGAAACAATAACAAACCATTTCCCAAAGGGGATTTAATGATAGGGAAAATACAAAATCCCCTTACATAAGCAAAACCAGGTAAAGCAAGTGAATGCAACGGACTCAAAAAGAACCAGATCTTTTGATTGCAAGCTCCAAGTCCAGCCTCCAAGTCGCAGTTTTGACGGTGCTGACGAAGAAGCCTGGCCCAGCACTGAGGCGTTGGACATGCTGTGGGCCCAAACCTGGTTCCCCCCACACCTGGGCGTATTTCAACAAAAATACTAAAACATCAATCATTGCTACAAAACATGGACCATCATCAAGCTCTTTCACATTAAACGCAAATACTTTGGCATATTTTGGGGTTCTTATTTCTTGGATTTCCCAACAAGCAAGGTTCCAAGCAAAGCCCACGACTAAATTCACTGGTTGGGATGTCCCCTATCAAAATACAAACCCAATTAATCTTCTTTGTGTTTTCCTGTCGTTTCAATAGGCCCTCATGAACAAGGGCGAAACCCTCTATTGACGGCAGAATTCCTGCAGCACCTGATGAAGCACATCTCATCCTTCACAACAATTTGAACATCTCATGTCCCAGGATCCTTCTTCAACCATTTTTGCACCTGCCGCGTTCGGTCAGCCCCTTTAGCCGCAAGATCGGCCTTTGTGCTTCGTCGGCCCACGCATCTTCCAGATTCATCGGGCTGTGGAAGTCCGACTCGTCCCCCTCGTTCCGGCGAAAGCCGCGCCCGGTCGCGCCGCGGGGTCTGCGGGAGAACGCGTGACACCGCGTGAGAGCGCGCTGGAGAGGCGAGGAAGTTTGGATGGCGGAAGAGGATTGAAGAACGATTTCTCCACGAAGGGTATTTTCACACGGGTTTGGGTATGCCGGGTACACCAACAGGATACAGTATCGTCCGTGAAAAGGCCAGCGGTGGCAAAAAAAACCCTGTGGATGCTAGGTGAACACTGAACAGAACAGGCTAGTGAGGTAATGTTGAAGAACCTCCTGCATGATTGTAGAATCGTACTGGAACTACCCTTTTCCTTTTGCAGTAGCTTGGGTATATGTAGAGTCTCTACAGTGGTTTAAGGGCCTCATCAAACCTTATCCTGTCCGTTCGGCCTCGGCTTCGCCCATGTCGTGGCAAGTGGCAAACTGGCAAGTGTCCCTAATTGCCCCTCTAAGTAGGGCCCCAAAAGCGGAGATCAACATGGCTAAAGGATCGAACGGATGATCATCACCCAAAAATACATCAAGTCATTTGTAATATAGTATCTTTAGTGTGGATATGATCCACGTCGACATGTTCAGTGTTGCTTGGCAAAAGACGATCTTTGCCGGTGGATTTACTGTCTGCACTCTGTCTGCACCCTCTTACTGCAAGGCTCTGGAACCTTGTGCATGCAGGGCGGTGTAACGATACTTCTTCCACTATTGCATGACTACCGAGCCAGCTGCAAGCAAAGGCCAGTCGGAAGCGAAGTAGCCCACACGCATGTGCAAATACATCAACGTCCATAGACGCCACAGCCCATCTGATGCTTCTAAGACTCATATAAGACTGTTTGCATCTAAGGATATTTTGGCCTCCTGCTTGACATGTCAGATGCGTCCACACATTTGACGCAAAAACATGTGGATCAAAACGTGGTGCAGTGCACGGTATCTCTGTCAAGGTCCCGCGTCCCGGTCGGCTCAACCGCTCTCGCAGACGCAGACGCTCCGTGAAAACAGCCGATTTGGTCCCTTCAGAACTTCAAAGCCTGGGATTTGAGACCCCAAGTCTCTCCATACATGGGTCCGACGTCTATGAGGGTCCATGAGCGTCGTGGTAGTCTTTTCACTTTGGCTCCTGAAAACTCCGTGCAAGGAGCGCTCGCTGCGCTCGGCTTCGGCTTGCTGCGCTGGTTGCGTTTGGCGCACGTGGAGCAAGGACGTGCGGCTTAGACTGCGGTGACGATGCTATGCTAAACTGGGCTTCTCTTGCACGAGAGCTGTGTAGATCTCAACGTTTGTTTGATTGAAAGCATGATCAAAAGCAAGCATCACTTCAGTTCAAGCTTCCTCCAAAGATGAACGATTCCTAATTACATAGTGCTGGGAAAATAATGAACATTTCCAACCAGGAGGTCTCTTTGTGGGCTTGTATTCCTATATATTCCTATATATTCCCATCACGCCTGGATACCTATCCATATTTGTCTTTGATTGCTCTTGATTAACTGTGCATCGATCTTCGTGAAACTTGACCATCGATATGGGAGCGACGACGTGCTGCCAAGCCGAAGGCTGGGTACTTCATGACCAGTTTCTCTGGGCTAACATAGTATATCCATCAGTCTTGACAGCAGGTTGCCCCGTCGGTGGTCAGGTCTTCCGCCGGCGTTTGCCGTAGAACCGGGACAGCGCTGTCCCAACACCTCAAGCTGTGCTGCGGCGCAAGCGATGCGCGCAGGCGGGCGCAAGCGATGGTGGGCAGGAATGACCTGAAAGTCTCCTGTGGCATGGTATAAAGAAGGGTTTCAAGCATGGACAGAAATGACTTCCATCCAAGGCATGTTGAAAGGAGATCCACGATTCTATCTACTTGGGGGCCCACTTCCTATATCTTTATACACTGCCCAAAAGGTTCTCAAGAACGTGATCCTATGGTTGGCTGGCAAGGCAGAATTTCAGCAGACGCCTTGCCAGTGACAAGTTGGAGGGTGCTGGCGTCAAAGCAAACAGACTAGGACCGGCCCGTTACCAATCCAAACCATGGAAAAAGAGCGGGGTCGCTCATCAGCCAGACCTTTTTTGTCATTGAACATTTGAACGGGCAAACTATAGAGGTGAGTTCGAGCCATGCTGTCAAGCTATGAACGATGGGGTGGCCCATGGGGTGGCCCATGGGGTGGCCCCCCGCAAGCATAACCATGGTCCGAATACCAAACAGGTGGTGAACTCCACTTCCATTACTATTTCAATGAGCGTACATGAAATGGGTCTTGGGCAAGTGCCAATGGTTCAAGCGCTTCCTGAAGTCAACTTCTTCTGCACACCAAATCGGCCATTTGGCGCCAAAGGCCACTGCCGAACGAATGGATGGAACCAAAAACTGCAACCCGAGTTTCGGAGCGGTGTGGAACTTCTTCAACCCCCTTCGAAAAGCAAACTCTTTCTATTCTCTATTGGCCGTGTTTTTGCTCCAATATCTTGTTGGTTTCTTGTTCACCTGATTTGGATCAGCTCAGGAGCCAAGTAAAAACAAATACAGCCACTTCACTTCAGAAAGGGGCTGAATGCACCATGTAGGGATAGCTAACTAAGAGGATGCAATGAGTATTAGGAGCTAACATCAGTAGTTCAACTAGAGATACCGATACCAGTCAATGATAAAAGATTGATTAAAAAAATCAAACATGTGCACGTACAGTCTCCCACCCTCTTAACAACTTCATCACTACATACATATATGATGTGTGTCTATGTATGTCTAATATTATATATACAGTATAACAGTATATATTTAAATACACACACAAATGGTCAGCAAAGGCCTTTCTCTAAAATAGTGATAATTGTTTACGGACCATTACAGGTATTGGGACAAACCCAACCTAAATGTACTCACCTTGATTTTGCAGAGATACGCAGGCACGAATGAACGCTGAATTTAGGCTTGAAGTGCCTCCTGGAGAAAATCGTCATGCTTCAACACAAAGCATTTTTGAGATGTGCAACTTCAGCTCTCAGTCCCGCAAGAGTCTCGTATTTGGAGCATGGGATTCTTTGAAGTACCATGAAGTACCCAGCTCCCTTAAGCCAATGACCTGCAGGCACTTGTGGGTCCTGCAACGTGCGAAGATCTACGGAGACAGGTACGCGGACAGGTTGGGAGTGCGATGCGTCTGCGTGGATAGGCCCCATCGATCATATCTCAGGACAATTCTGGGTGATCCCTCAAAGAGGATGAACCCGGTTCCAACTCATGACATGGGAGTCACTTGCTTGTGTGCATATCACAACAAACACGGGTAGGGTAGACAAAGATCACATTTCCCAGAACGGACATTCCATGCTCTAAGGTTCTAAGCCTCATGCCATGTGTCTTCAGGCACCATACGCCTTCCTATGACGCCTCTTGGCACCTTGCTGCACCTTCCTATGTCTGAAGATGTCTGCATTGTGTCAACAGCGTGTCAAGGGCATTTTTGGGCGTCTTCGTTGCTACACCGAGCGGAAGTCCCAAACATCACCGTCAAAAAAAAGCTCTGCAGTTCCCAGCACACAGCTTAGTCCTTCTTCTTCTTCGAACCTGACAGAATCAGAAGTCACTGGTCTGAAGTTTTCCGAAAGGCAGTCACTGGTCTGAAGTTTTCCGAAAGGCAGTGAATGAGAAAAAAACAAACAACTCAGTCGACCCTGTGCAACTTGGCCAACCCGAAAAAGTGCTCTGAAGACAAGGACCAACGTTCGTTTCGATTGAACCGTAAGACCCCGAAGCTAATACACCTTGAGGCTGGCACAAATCCGAAACGGAGGTGGACAACGCATGTTTCCTTTCAGAAACCCAGCTGGGACCCATTCGACCTGTTCATTTCTGAATACAGTATCTCAAAGAGTGCTTCACTAAATATCTCTAAATCGTCTCCGAGGCCCTCACCAGCTTGCTCTTCCACCTCCTCTCCCTCGTCGTCCTCCTCCTCCCCGTCGTCGTCGTCGTCGTCATCCTCGTCCTGCTGACACTGGAGCGAGACTGCGAGACTTCAAGAAAAGGTCCCATGATTGACACCGATGTTCAACAAAAACTCCATTGCAAAGCTGCACCTACTTGACTTAGCATGATGCCCCACCCAGTCACTCCATTTCTACACCAATTTGGACGCAAAAGCGACGCATCCTCTGCCTTCTCCCCCGCCAGGCGGTTCCGCGCTTTCTGCCTGAAACACCGCACTTCCACCACGCCCGTTCTCGCGTGTGAACGGCCAGGACGGCCAGGACGGGACTCGACTCCCACGACCACCAACTCCTACGACCACTCCGCTTTGGAACAGTTCGGTGGAAGTGTTCGGTGTGTTCTATGTTTCGGTCCATGTTGGCAGGGCGAAGAAACAAGCACCCTGGATTCACTGGATAAAGAAAACGCTTGGCACCGACAGCTCTCCCAGATGGTTTCTGATTGTTTTAAGTTTTGTGTCAGTAGTAGAACTGTAGAACATTGTAGAACTTACAACCAAGAACTGAGCCACGTCCTCTGCTTGTTCCGATGGTCTGTGCTGGGGCGATGTTTTGCAGACCTTCCTCTCACTTAAATTCCCGAGTTCTGCTCATGAATAGGACAACCCCCCTAAGCAGCTTCCCACCAAACTCACGCCACTCCACCCTGCTTCTTCTCCACCTACCCACCCTCGCTGGGCTCGGCCTCCCTTCGGCGCCCTGCTTCAAGGCCTTGCGCTTCATGCGATTTCCCACCTGTGGCCGATGGTTTCGCACGTGACACTCGTGCAGCTTCTTGGTCCTCCGAAACTCGCTTTCGGATTGGCCCATTCAAGCCGGGGAGGATTTTCCAGGATCGGAAGAAGCAATCCCCACGTGGGGCAGTGGTTTGATGGGTTCTTGTTCATCCACAAGTTGGTTTCATTTTCTGGCTCGGAGGTCCCTGGGCCATAAGCGAAGTCCGTCACTGGATCAAGGACAGATTTCTCAGTTGAGCGTGAAGCGCAAGACTTTGAGTTCACAAGTCCCAGTTCAAAGCCATGCTCTGGCTGAGTCTCTTCCTCGACCTCTCAACGTCACCCACTGTAGATCCACCTTCCATGACAACCAGCTTGATTCACCCTCCACATCTCCACATTGTTCATGTTGTTGTTGTTGTTGCTGCTGTTGTTGTTGCTGTTGTTTTTTCCCCTTTTTTAGTGGATTGCAAGAAGAATTTATTTTTTGATATATATATATATATTGCTTGGCCAACCGATCTGATCTGAGGATCTTCTCATCAAGCTACTAGTAACCAGAAGGTACAAATCCTCGAAGGGCTGGACACCGCTGGCGTATGAAACACTTCTTCGGTCCACACATCCTTCCCATTTTACCCTTAATCCTGCACATGGTTTCTTCCACAGAGTCATGTTCCCACCTTGTTCTTGCCCCGCATCTTCTTCACCGGCTTCTTCTTGGCAGCCTGGCAAAAACAACAAACAAACACACACATGACCACCACCACGCCAGCAACCCTGGTGTCAAGATCTTTGAAGCATTGATTGAACCTGAGGAGCTCTTGCAAGATCTATGAAGACCAGCAGCACATCTTTGAGAAACACGAGGAACTTCTCGGCCGGAGAAAACTTTTGAGTCAGCCTTTGCTTCCTTTCCTCAAGATCAGTTTTTCAGCCGCTTGACAAACGACAGGTGGGCTTGACATGTTTCACAAAATTGCTCACACAGCGCGCAAACCCGGGTTCGCCGGCCTCCTCCTTCGCTTTCGCCTCTTCTTCCTTCTTGGAGTTATCCCTCCAAACCTGGTGACAAACCCTTATCCTAGCCACCCCAACAGGAAGGAAGGTGCACCCAGTGGCGAGTTTGGCTTTCCCTGCTGCGGTCGGAGTGCAAGCAAGTTGTAACTGGAGCAGAAGAGCCTTTCCAATCTAGAGGATGGTGGTCAGCGCGGTGTACCCACTCGAAAACAGCCAAGATCATCTACACTCTCCTGTTCATAGGAATCCAATGAATTTTGGCACGTTTGCTTTCCTCAACTCTCCCACTCTCGCGACTTACCCCACCCTTCAAGAAATAATCCACCGAACTGGAAGACCCAGCTTATTCCAGCTTCACCACTGGAGTAGCACCAACAGAACTGGGTTCCTGTATGTTCGTGTTCCAAGCCCTCTCACCGAGTGAAAACACAGAAAGTGTCATCCGAATCCATCCAGAGCACCGAATCCCTGCTTCACCAGCCACCCGAGACTCTCGAGACTCCAAAGGATGGCGTTTGAGGCTCCCGGCTTTGACCACCTCCCGGTCGATTTGACCAATGTCGTCGGGGTTTAGCCTCATCTCACTGCAAATTCAGCCAATTCCAGCTCGAGTTCAGCGCATTGCCGCCCGACCTGGACCCATGAGTTGATCAGCTTCCAGCCACCGAACAAGCTAAACGGAACATGATCCAAAGCTGACCCAAGTGTTCGAACTCTAAGCTTTCAGCGATCTTTTTTCACGATCTTCGATCGATCTGTCTGACCAACACATTTGACCAACCTACTATAAGTATCACTATCACTTTCAATCTCACTGGCAGAATAGACCAACACTTTTGACCAACCTATAAGTATCACTTTGATCTCGAGGTCAGTTAGGTTTGAGAACATCTTCAATATCTTCAATCTGCTTTCACTTGATCCCTTCTCGCGGCGACAGCCACTTCACTGGCGCGTTTGAGTGACCCGCATGATGGAGTCCGGCTGCAGCTTCTCAAGCAGAGATTGCACCTAATTGCGAGCACGCTTGGCTCATGGCTTCCACTACAAATCAGTGTCTAGAAAAGGCAGTGAACCATAATATACGATATGGATGTGGATCAACATCTAAGAACAAAAAGCTCTCATTGACCTTTCCTCTTGGGGGAAATGGTTTTTCACCTGCCTTTCATAGGGCTGGACTTGAAATGATCCAAACGTCTTCGGGTGTCCATCCAGGAAATCACCAACCCTCACGGTCTGAAAGTCCGGTCACACGGTCTGAAAGTTGACTTCTGTTCGCTCACAACATTTGAAGAAGTGAAGTGAAGTGACGCATTTGCCAGTTCAATTGTGAGGACTCGCCAGTTCTTAGTGAAATTATTCTTCTTCTTCTTCCCCAGTTCCCCAGTTCCCCAGTCAGTTCTAGTGACTCCTTTTAGATCAACACAGTCCAACTCGCACCGCGGGCCTCGCGTTCTCGACGCTGAGATTTGGTCTCGAAGGGGTTCGCCTCGCAGAGGCCATCTGTGGGGTCCAACACCCCGCGACGCGATGTGGCAGGGAGGCAGCGCGTATCACTGGAGCTGCCGAGTCACCGGTTGCCTTCGAGTCATTTTTTTTGGCCTACCAGCCTTTGGGTCACTGCTTGGTGTGAAAAAGGGTCCTCTGCCTGGAACACTGGCCATTCAGCACATGCTATTACCTCCACCTGATTCAGAGCTCTGATTGAGACCTTCCTTTCGTCTCACCCCTGGCCCCGTGCCCGGCGCGCCCATTCATTCGGCCGAAGCAGCGAAGCAGTTCGGCACCGAACACCGCCCAGTTCGGCACCACCTCCGTGTTCGGCACCGAGTTCGGAGTCGCTTTCGCCTCAAAAGAGTCGAAGTTCGCCTTCCCCGCGCCAGGCACCACGAGGCTCCTGGGAGCACGAGTGGTCCTCTCACTGGGGCGGATGCGAAGCTCGTGTTCGCCGGTGCGTCTGGGCGGTGTGGAAAAGCTGGGGAGGGCAGAGATGAGCTTCTGACGCCAAGGCAGGCTGTGAACATCTGTGGGATGAATCTGGTTTTTGGTCCTCAGAATGATTCAAACAGTGTTGCCAAATGTCCATTTTCAGGTTTCTTTTGAATCTTCCCGGGTGTATTACATGAAAAAGAGTGGAGGGCTTGGCCACATTTTGCAACGTAGCTTCACACTTGGTACTTTTTTGCAAGTGGCTGCAACTGCAGAGAACTTCTTCATAGTCCACAACAACGTCACAGCAGCTGCAACAAGCAATAGTTCCGGAAGCACTGGGACAAATCCAAAGTCTCGCTTGACCGCCAGAGGGCGCAAGCTGCTCGCAAGCCCGCTTGCCTCACCCCGCAAGAGAACTTCGATAAGAACTCAACGCACGCACCGACCCATCCAACTGGGCTCCAATATTGCGCGCTTTGGCACGCGGACTTACACACATTTGGAGCGCTTCAGCTTCAGGTGAGAGTCCAGCAACTGCAGCACGTAATCTGTCAATCTTCAGCACTCATTCAAAACACCTGTTTTTCATGCTCTGCTGAATCAGTTTTTGAGCCAATGGTGCCCGGTTTGCTCCATCGTGGCGTTGGCTCTTCAGTTCGCGCGGGAAGCGCTCAGCTCGTCCACCCATCTCCAGAGCTCCGCCCAGCCGATGTTGGAAGCCCAGGCCACATCCCAGTCCGGCGAAGGAATGATGGAAGATCCGTACTTGCAACATCCCTCAGGCCACATCCTTTTGAGATAAGTAGATGTTGGAAGCCAGCCGTGCCAGCCACGCAGCCATGCACTTCCCCTGCAGCCAGGAAGCTGAAGGTGTGACATCTTTGCCGTGATCTCCCGCACGCTGTGCTGGCACTCATCAACAAGCCATCGGCACTGAACTCCAAATGTAACGCCCATCCAATTTTAACGCCCAAGAATATTCCAGGGCACGTCGCAGCGACCAAGTATTTGTCCTCTTGAGCAGCCAAGTCCAACAGAGCAAGACATCAACAATGCACTGGAAACTCGGCCCAAGAAATCTGCACAGTTTTGGGGACTTCTTCATACGTGGGCAACTGGCGCAGCCTGAACACTTTGGCACCGCAAACTCTTTGAAGCAGGCACTCTGGAGCGTGATGCGGTGCCTCAAGGAAATCCAATTCTGCATGTATGAATGATCAAACAGAGTGCACGCATGTGCACGCATGATCTCATCTTTTTGGCAGCCCTTCAAGCTTGAAGTTACCAGTATGTGAGGAAAGACTAGAACAAACACGGTTGTCACTCTGGGCGCGCTTTGCAGCTTCGACTAAAGTAGCTTCCTAGCTTCCCACCACATCATGCCCATGGAGGCTCCTTGGCGGGCTTCATTTTTGCAACAGGCTCCTTGCCCCGACAATTGTCTTCCTTGCTTCACCTAGCAGCCGTTTGCATTATCGTGCTTCCTGAGGTCACCCGCGTTTTGCTGAGGATAAATTTCGACGATGCAGCGCCGCACGTCCGCATGCATGGCGTTGCAGTGGCTACATCGTGGCCGCAGTCGACGGAGCGCAGCCAGCAGCTTTGAGAGCCACAACTTCAGAAGTCAACTTGGCGCGGGGTCAAAGGATGCAGCAACCACTGGGTGTATTCGTCACACTGCATGGCTCCACGGCAGCCTGCATGCCTGGCAACCTGACCTTGAACAAACACACGCCGTCTACAGCGAATGACCTCCCAACACACCCTTGGCTGCACGTGGCTTTGTCATTACCACCTTTGTTCCATAGGCTTGCTCTGCTTCCGCTGTCACATTCACCTGCACATCCACCTTGTCGGCCTCCGGCAAAAACTTCAACCACACAACCACACCATAGCCCAGCTTTCTGCACAGCTGTGGACAGCGCCAGGCGCGCCCAGCCAGCTTTCTGCGCCAGGGAAGCCCAGGGCCACCGGATCTGGACCCCGTTTCGAACGAAGACGGAGGTGTTCCAAGGAGTTGCGTGCCAACAACCCAACGGGTCTTGCATGAACCAACGGGTGTGAAGGATTCACCCAAACTGTTTGGTCCATTTTCTCGACGTTCCACCAAAGCCGCACATGGTTGGGGGGCTAAAGCTGACAAGAATCCTACTATATCCTTTAAATTTCAACTGGAGTCGTGCGTCTTTCTGGCGGCCTCCTTGGCTCACCTTGCCATCGCCGCGCCCCGTCTTGATATGATATGGCGGCCGAGTAGCTTGCTTGCCAAAAGGCTGGGGTTATGGAGAACAGCGAGACCCACTAGCGAGACCCACTGAACCACCTGATCTTGTTTCAGAAACGAACACCCAGTAGCTCTGAAGGTCTTCGTTCGCCACACAGGCCCAGTAGCGCTGCCCGGGCGGCAGCGGAGGGGTCAAATTCAAGACGATCCCCTAGCCCTTCAGTTCCATTCATCTCCATTCCCTCCATCTTCCCTCCGTCTTCACAGTGCAAAGATGTGCAAAGATGTGCAAAGCACCCGTTTTTCATCCAGCCAAGGCTCCCGAAGCCATCCGAGCGCCCCACACAGCACACGTCCTGCCGGCCAAGGAAATCCCCACTCACTGGTCATAAAGGTTGGGCTTGTGGCTCCTTTGTGGCTCATGTGCACATGTTGAAGAGTCTCAAAGAGCATCAGATGGTAACGTGGTAGCGCAGGATCTGACCTGTGAAAGATGTCGACTCCGAGGGATGAGAAGAGCCTGGAGGCAGCCTGGAGGACGGTAGAAAAGAAGGCTCATTCGAGCTCTCCATACCTTTGCTTGACGCATGGAAAGCCCACAACTGAATGACGAGATGAGGACGGACCCGATTCTCCGCGTGCTTTCTGTTAGGTGCCCCAACTGGAGCTCATGGTCACTGGCACTGGGTGGGAATGAGGGAATGAGGGATGGCAGGATGGCCCTAACACGGAGATCTTTCAGAATGTCCTTGAACCGCTTGAGGGATCTCTAGCAGCTAGCAGCTATTTGTACCCTCTCTTTTTCCACTTCAGCTTTAACCTGGAAATCATCTATATGCAGGTCATGCAAGTCAACCGGGCAAAGATCTTAGTTGGAGGGTAGTCCCACGCAGGTGTTCACTCTGCCCTCGGTCGAACGGAAAACAAAATCATCGACATCGAGACGACTGACGGAAAACCCCAGAAACGCTCCTCAAAGGGGCGATAGCGCACACATTCGATCTGCCTTCCCTTGTACCTGTTCCGCTCCGGATTCCGAAGCGAAGAAGCCAAAGCAAAGAGGCAAAAAGAACACAGTCCGCCCTGAAAGCTCGGAAATTTCTGGTCTTTCGTGGCTCTTGCAGGAGGACAACTCCTTCACTGACCCTTTGCAGAGCTGATTTGTTCGATGCTGATCTGCAACGGACACCCTAGAGGGGAACTTTAGGCTGAACTTCCTTTACTTATTGAGGCAAAATATATCAAAATATAGTCTTTTGACTTCCAGGATGTCATCTGATGTGCAATCCAGCAGTCTGTGTAGACTCGGAAAAAAATAATTCCCAGCCATCCACAGGTGGCGCACTGCTCCTTGATGTAGGGCCTGAAAAAAAGAAGAACACGGTGCACGAAAAACGGGGCGGGCGCGGCGGGTTCGAAGGGGATGGCGGGCTGCCGGTCACTCGATTTCAGCTGCGCATTCTTTCTATTTCTTTCTCCTGGGCAAGCTGTCAAGAGTCGGTCCGGGTCTCTCTCAGAGAGGGTCCCGAAACACCGAAGTCAGGCGTTGAGTCGGCAGTTCTCGTCGTGCGGAGGGTGTTCGGCCACGAGTGGCTTTTGCTCCAGGAAAGTATTTGGGCCTGGATAGTGTCGAAAGGAGTCCGACTGGAGCCTTTCCCCCCACCATGTAACACAGCATGAATGCAGGGAGGGGGCCAGGGTCCAATCTATGGCAAAAAACTCTGACTTCGAAACAATACAAAACACAGTAGAATAGAAGTCTTTTGCAAACTGGTTTTCTACGCATCAAATCGATTCACTCGACAGAGAGGCCCATGGAAGTTGCCAACACCAGTCGCTGCGGCTGACTTCCGGACAAATCTGGACCAAGTTTCGTTGGCTCGAAGGATCTGCAACAACATGCAACAACTTTCCAAAGAGCTGAAGCTCACATAGACCAAATCCAAACAGACTGGTTTTAAGGAGCCACGGAGCCATTTTCACATCCATGGTGGTCTCAGATTTTCAAACTCAGATTGCAGGCTGCTCTGCTTCAGGGCGTCTTCACAACCCTGGCAGGCTGCCTTCGTGGCAGTCACATAGTGGTGCGGAAAACGTGATGCGAGGGTGCCAAGAAGACTGAACTACTGCAGGCTTCCAGGCTACCCGCGAGCCACTCCAATGGCCAGACGAGTCTTGTTTTTTGGGCAACATGGAACAACTTCCCCATGAAAGTGTGGGAATATGAAGAGGGTCCCATCCTGAAATCTGCTGTCTGGCATTGAGGCTTCGTCTCATGATCTCATGTTTCTCACATGATCCAAGCCAATGAAAGGATCAAGCCCGCAGCTGCGGCAGCATGCACAGCGCCATCGGCCTCCCCGGAATCAATTGTGGAAGTGGTCGAGGTCGTCTCAGTGGTGTTCCCCATGGTGCTTGAGGTCATGCTGGTGGTGCTGTTCGAGCCCATGGCGATGCTGAAGCCCGAGAGTTTGCGCACAGCTCCCGCATCTCGCAGCCAGTTCATGGGGTTGCTGATGCCATCGAAAAGCTCTTCCTTGCTGCCAATCATGGGTCCAGCATATTGAGCAGTCTCGGTCTCACCCAAATTCAGGGCGGCCACCTCATCATTCAGCCTGCGAACCATCACGTTGCCTGCCTTCCCATCCAAGTTGACGCCACACAATGGGGTAGGAGATGATGCGCTTCCCTTGTAGATGGTCAAAGCCAAAGGAGCAGCGAAAGACCAACCGTCCTCCGTCTGGAAATCCCACTTCCTCAGGACCGTGCCCTTGGCCGCCTCTTTCACGTGCTCCTTGGCTTGAGCACGCTGGCTGGACTGAAAGTCCTTGTTCTTGAAGCTTCCGTCCGTCAGGGTGATCTTCTCTCCATCGGCGTCCTCCATCAAGAGGATGGCGAAGTCATCCTTCTCACCATAGATGCCCACGAAGGCACAATCTCCTGGTGCCAAAGACACAGCCATGCCAAACTGCGCGAGGAGTGTGAGAGACTTCAGGAATGCCATGGTCCTGAGGATGAGTGAAAAGCTCAGGCTCAAACACGGGTTGCACACTGCGGGTCTTCCTTTACCAAAATGGCTGCGGCAAAACATGTCCGGTCACTAAAAAGAACAAACCTGTTTTGACAAGGCAACTGCTTTGACAACATTTTTGCTACAAATTCAGCCCTAAGGATGCTCAAGACTGCGAAAGGGCTGGATAGTTTAGATGCACCCAAGCGAGACATTGGACATCGTGACACTAATTAGTTTTCAAATACATTGTTCACCTTCTTTGTGATCTCAGAAAACTTTCCTTCACGATCTTGGATTTACATCTCGAGCTGAACGAATATCACCAACTCAACTCTGAGGCCCTGAGGCGATGACTTGGTTTCCCTGGCGGTGGAGAACACATCCTTGAAGACCTGATGCGAAAATATCGGGTTTGGGCCCCCAAGGCGCTATATGGGATACCTATGGTGCACATTGGTGCACTCTGAATATGGGTGCGTGCTCTAAGTTACAAAAGTGAGACCCCAGCAGCTCAGCCAAACCACAAAAGGACACATAAGAGTAGAACCCATTGCTTCCCTGCTCCACAACAAACGAGCAATGCAACATATATATATATATATGTATATATCTGTGTGTATAATGGTTATCCCGATCTCGGTCGTTGAGACCGTTTTTTTCACCCCCTGGGAACGGATTTGTCCCTGGCGTGCCCTCCACGCGGCCCTTTCCAGGTCCAGCGGCTTCGAAAAAGCCGCCACAGCACATGGCCAGCATCCCAGTCATGGACCTGGAGAGCTTGGAAAACTCTTTTCGCGGGTGCGTGTGAGCTACCCGTTTCCAGGGACCGTACCCTACTATTGACACCCATTCCAACTACTTCAATGCATCAGCAGAGCAACAGATTCGCTGCATGGCCGTCGCCAGCAAAGCTCCATGCAGCAGACTAGGATATCACGGCTGATCACCGTGACGTACCTGTTTTTTCCAATCACTGCTCTGCTGATTTAAACAATACGGCTTCGATCTGTTTGGTGGACTTTTCGCCTTGCCGTTCTTCACAGGGCCATTTCGAAGGTGTCAGGCCTTTGAGCGCTTTAATCTGGTATTGCAGTAACTAGAAAGTAAAGTGCTAACGCTCACTAACAACCACTTTGAATGTCGCTCACATGAGCATCTCTCAAGAAAGAGTGTGTGCGTGTGTCCACACCTGTTCCTAAGGAGTTTGCACAGAATAATTCACTTTCGGTGGAGTTTATGATATTTGCAGGTGGCCGGAGCCAGGTGGGGGGTCTCCGGCCAATGAAGACACCCCCCACCTCGATGCAAACGTACCTGCGCTTTTCCAATCTAGTCAATTTTTTAATCAGGCTCTAAAGTGTTAATGCAAGTCAAGGTCTAACTGCGCGTAAAGGTCTAATTGCGTGTAAAGTAGAACTTCACCAACTGATTCAGCTCTTGTAAAGTGCTGATGCAAGTCAAGGTCTAACTGCGTGTAAAGGTCTAATTGCGTGTAAAGTGGAACTTCACAACTGATTCAGCTCTTGCGAGCATCAATGTAAGTGTGTGTCGCCACAGAGTCCCACCGAGGGCTGTGGTGTGATCCCCACCGAGAAGCGCAGCGTGTGCACAGACCCACTTCTGGGGGACTCCCACTGATTTCCATCTTCCTCTCTCTTGTGACCTTCTTTCAGAATACCACAGGCTCGTTTCGTTTTGCCTGAGATTGCTGATCGAATGCCGCAGGGCTTACTGAGATCGAGTGCCGCAGGTCTCACTGAATATCTTTGCGCGCGCATGTGCGACGCATTAGACGAAACAGACTCAGACGCGTCTAACGACTTCCAAAGATTTTGCTTGAGGCTTTTAGGCTTCAGGTGAAGCTTTAGTCAAGGGAGCCCCGTTTACGGCGGAGCGTGAGGAGAGTCAGAGTGAGAAACGTGAGCAGAGGACCAATAGGCAAGCAACTAAGTAATCTCTTTTGGTTCGTTGTTTCTTCTCTCCTGCTGTTGCTTTCCGTTTTCTTGAGGCCTTTCTTTAGGTTTTAGGTGCCTTTTAGTCAAGGGAGCGCTGGTTACGGCAGTGCCTTAGGGCCACCCCCCCCTCCTTGCACGAGAATTCACACTTCTTATCCCACCCTCTAATTAGGGTAACAGGAGGAAGTCGCACTCAACACACTTGTGTGTTGGTGCCTGTCCTTCTGTTTCTCCTGTCCTAGTCTTTCCTACCCGGGCGGTCTATGACTAAAGTCCCGCTCCCTAACTTTTGCACCTAATTCATTCGGCTAAGTAGTCAGTAACTAGAAGGCTTCCTAACTAGTGGGCCTCGTAACTACTCCGATCTTTGCTATCTTTCTCTCTTGCCCTCTTCGTTTGCTCTTTCTGTCTTTTCCTTTCCTTTCTTTCTAAGGCTTGTTAGGTGGCTAGTAAATCTTTTGAGCGCCGATATCGGCATTCTGTGTGTGTCCACACCTGTTCCTAAGGAGTTTGCACAGAATAATTCACTTTCGGTGGAGTGTATGAGATTTGCAGCGGGCCGGAGCCAGGTGGGGGGTCTTCGGCCAATGAAGACACCCCCCACCTCGATGCAAACGTACCTGCGCTTTTCCAATCTAGTCAATTTTTTAATCAGGCTCTAAAGTGTTAATGCAAGTCAAGGTCTAACTGCGCGTAAAGGTCTAATTGCGTGTAAAGTAGAACTTCACCAACTGATTCAG